TGATCAATTGACCACTCTGGGCGGCTAATTTATAAATAAACAAGTCATTAGAATAAAGAATTAATTAGAAAAAATAGAGACTAAAGAGCAAATTTAAAAAGTCAGAGGTATGGATAAAGTATCTTGGCACAATATTATTCAGCTGGAGCAGTGGTCAAAGAACTGGATAAAAAGAAATGGTAAATGTATGGAAATTACAAAATATGAAAGAATCATGTTACAAAAAGAAAGTGAAGGGGAAAACAAGGTTGTGAAAGGAAGAGTAAATGAAAATTAAAATATTTTTCGCTCCGACAATATTATTCAGCTGGAGCAGTGGTCAAAGAACTGGATAAAAAGAAATGGTAAATGTATGGAAATTACAAAATATGAAAGAATCATGTTACAAAAAGAAAGTGAAGGGGAAAACGAGGTAGTGAAAGGAAGAGTAAATAAAAATTAAAATATATTAATGGAAGCAGAAAATCAGGAGGACTTATTTAAATCATTATGATAATTCAGTATGGAAGAAAAGAATAAGTACCAGTGCTTGGAAAAATATATGGAAAATTAGAATAGTGAAATCTATGGATAATCTATGGATTGAAATCTAAAGATAAAAGAAAAAAATTGTAAGGTGGTTCAGAGACAGTACTTGACTCCAGTGAAATTAGGTCGACTAGATGGTAATTATTCTAGAGTGTGCTGAAAAGGATGCCAGAAAGTAGATACTTGGTTTCATATGTGGTGAGAATGTGAGGATAGGTTGAAATTTTGACAATTATTTTTCAGGGAATAAGTAAGCTAAATTTAGTTGTATGTCCTAAAATAGGACTTTTATCAATTATTTGAAAAGGAGGAAGGTAATTGGAGAAATAAAGAATTATTTGACCCCTCATTGTGTGTTCTTGGCAGGGGCTTAGACGCAGTGATCCATAAGGTCCCTTCCAGCTCTGTAGTTCAAAGATGATGATGATGGCAATGATTTTTCTAATTTGTTACCAGTGGCAAGTTTGATCATTGCTAGGAACTGGAAAACACCTTTTAATTTCCAGTTAAGGGAAATAGGGAAGTTTGGGATATTGCCATCAATCACAATTTTGCATGTGATATAAACATGAAGATGAATTTTTAGATATATGGGACAAATTTATCGGTTTTGTATTAACAAAGGGAAAAGGACAAAGCCCACTGCAGGAGTCGGTACAATTCTGGAAGGCAGAGATGGGGCTCCACAAGAGTAAAGAGTGCAAATTGTTACTCCCACATGGTTCTGGTCGGGGGCAGGAAGCACTGCCTATTTAGATACTTGTTCGTTCGATTTTTTCCCCCTATTCTGTACTCTGTGGGTGGTTTTCTTGTATAAATAAAAATTAAAAATGTTTCCAAAAGATTTTTTTAAAAACCCAATTTACAAATATCATCCTTGATTACTAATTATTCCCGTCAATCCCAGGCAGACTGGCATGTGCGTCTTGTATATATTTATTTATTTTATTGGATTTGTATACCCATGTACCAGTTGTATGGTAAGATCTTGTCAGGCAAACATGAGGTGGAACTCTTTTAAGAATTATTGCCTTTCAGATTCTTGCCCTGCAGATTTTTCAAAGTGATGGCCAAACTATTTCTGTTCAAGAAATGTAAAAATTTGCTGAGGGGGAAGGAAGATGTGTGGGGAAACTTTTAAAGGCGTCTTCTTGGATGTCTCACAATTCTCTTAGCATCAATCAGCATGTATGAAATATGAATATTTATCAACAGGAGCAGGGCCTTGACAGTTGAGCCTTGAGGCATGACTGTCAAATCAAGGCAGTATTCACCTTTGGATCTCAAAAGAGCTTTCTTTTACATCAAGCCCTTTGGGATTAATATTCTGAATGCATAGCACTTCCTATTTCCAAAAAAAAAGACACACACAGAGAGAATTCATCCTTGGAAGGCTAAAATATATAGCTGAATGATTCTAGAGGTGCCTTTTAGGGTCAAGGCAATAATAATAATAATAATAATAATAATAATAATAATAATAATAATAATAATAATAATAATAATAATAATAATAATAATAATAATAATAATAATAGACATCCTAGGTGGCCGCCTTGCTGTACTCTATTGACTGCTGTTCTGAAGCATGTTGGATGGATGATAATAAAATGATAGTATAAATATTTTAAATAAATGTATTATGGATTTCAGAGGTGGAGAAGAATCCCATCGTTGAAAAATATGGAGAAGAGTGTCAGGGGCTCTCCCATTACCTCCTAACCCCAGAGGAAATGTGTAGCTACGATTACCCTCTAGAAGGTACGTTGTTCATATTTAAGAAAACGGGATGGATCTGTTCTTGATCATCCCAGCGTGCAGGACATGTAATAATGGGCCGAAACTACAGAAGCCAGATTTAGGCAATGTCAGGAAAAAATTCTTAACTGTTAGAGCAGTATGACAGTGGAACTTATTAGCTTGGGAGATAGTGAGTCATTCCACGGTGGAGGCATTCAAAAGAAAAATTGGACAACCGTCTGTCAGATCTGCTTTGATCTGGATGCCCGCATTGAGCAGGGGATTGGATTCGATGGCCAGATAGCCCCCTTCCAACTCAGTTATTCTATGATATTATGAAGTGAAATCAATAATTCCAGTTACTTTGCAAAAGATTAATATGAAACCACCTTCTTTGAAATGGGGAGGCAGGGAGAGATGTCTACAATTCACTGATAAAGTGTAGGAAGGGAAGCATGTGAATCGTTATCATCTCCACTGATGGTTCTGCATCAGTGATAGAAAAAGTTGAGATCAGAACCTGAAAAAGTTACTTTTTTTGGACTTCAGCTCCCAGAGAGGCTGGCTGGATGCTTGTGGGGCGTTATAGTTTAAAAGGTTTGTGTCAAGGTTTAACAGGAGGAGATGCTATTCTCTCTACTTTAGAATTTGGATTTCTGTCTTATGAACTGTACACTTACAGTTTTCGAAGGTGTGTTGCCTTCGGTTACGGCACTGCAACCTTTAGAGATGGAGCAAAGGCACTAAACTGTGGTACGTCAGTTCACAATTTGCACAGCCCATGGTTCATTCCCATTTACTTTGCAAATGATTAAATGATTGAAGCACCTCCCATTGTCCAGGGCAGTTGTGGAGGCTATTTATTCTTTAACATTTTTCTAATCTAGGGCATTTTGGGAAACTTAAAATGGGATCTGGACCCAATCAGTGTACAAGGGGACCCACATTAATGAGGTCCCCCTGAAACCAGATCTGCCTCCAGCACTTTACAGATGAAAATACGGATACAGTGGGGTCTTGACTTGAGAACTTAATCCGTATTGGAAGGCGGTTCTCAAATCAAAAAGTCTGTAGGTCAAGTCTCCATTGACCTACAGTGCATTGAAAACCGATTAATCCCGTAACAGGCCGTTTTTGTTCCATTTTGGTTTTTTTCTGGTCTGTAAGTCAATTCTCAGGCTGCAGGTCAAACCTAAATTTTGCGGCCAGAGAAGTCTGTAACTCAAAAAGTCTGTAAGTCAAGCCGTCTGTAAGTCAAGGGTCCACTGTATTCTTATAACATAGTCCTGTAACAGAAGGTCAGACAATGCTGGCAGCAAGACAAACTGAAGAAATAAGTCCTTAGGATCTGCCTTAATGAATGGATCCAGTCAACAGAGACCTCACAATTAAAACTTTTTACAAGTCAAATATAGCACAAGTCAAGTTAAAATGCAAACAGTTAAGATTAATAAATATAAAATAAACCTCAGCACAACAAAATCAGGGTTATTTTTGTTGGATAAAAATTGCAGTTAGGTAAAATTTTAGTTTGCGTCCTCATTGGTCTCAACAGATATTTGGATACACTTTCTGCAATATACAATTTTATATGAGATAAAAGGAAAGAGATGTATTCAGGCAGTCCCTGTGTTGTATAATGCAAACACTAACTCTTCAGTAGCCTTCTGCGTAATCAATTAAAAGCGGAGTGATTATTCTTTTGGCTTGGAAAGCAAAACCAAACACAAGTACCTGTTGTGTGTTATGAACGGTTCAAAACAAAGAGGTAGTTGCGCCCTTGCAATCTTCCTATGTCCTACTGTATTTTTCCGTGTATAAGACTATACTTTTGTCTAAAATCTTTAGACTAAACATTGGGGGTCGTCTTATACACGGAAGTAAGCTGAGGCGGCTTATAATACAAGTGGAGGGGAAAGCAGGGATCAAAGCGATCCTGCAGCGCTTTCATCCCTTTCCCCCTACACTTGCTAAGCCCCACTTAGATTTCTTAATTTTGGATTAGAAAAGGGGGGGAGTCTTATACATGGGGACGTCTTATACACGGAAAAAGACAGTATATACTGATTGGCATGTGTTCCCAAGCAGGGGGAGGCTGAAGACAGATCTTAATAGATCAGGTTGCAGTTAGACCAACAAGAACCTTCTACTCCAAAGAAACAGCAACAATAAAATGGCAAAATTTTATTGCAAAATTAGGCAGTCTGAAGGAAGGAAACCGAGAGCTCCATTCTGGTATGGACAAAACATTTCTGGCATAAGCGTGTGCTTCTGGGTGCCTGCTAAAATTCTAGATCAGAGGAAAGAAAAGATCATTCGAGAAGAGTGATTCCCAGCCTTGGGTCCCCAGATGTGCTTGGACTACAACTCCCAAAAATCCTGGCCAGCACAGCTAGTGATGAAGGCTTCTGGGAGTTGTCGTCCAAGAACATTTGGGGACCCAGGGTTGGGAACCGCTCTTCTAGAAGAGTCAGTCAATGTGTAGAATGCAGAACTCAACCAGTGGGAAGTTCTCTAGATAGTTTGCATTAAGGAGGTTAGGTAACTCACAGTAAATGAGACCACCTTCCTGTCTGGCACGCGAGCGGACTGTGCCCCGCTGGATCTTCCAGTGCCCTTTGGTGCTGAAATGTTTCTTCTTTCTTCTCCAGGTTGTGAGAACTGCAGCCATTTTGTCCCCACCTGTTGCAACAGTCCGGCCACAGACAAAAGCCCCCTCTTTGGGCTGGACTGTGAAATGGTACGTTGCAGGATGTCCCTAAGAAGCAAAGAGGTGTTCATGTTTAGAACAGGGAACCTGTGATGGTCACACTTCACCTCCTACCAGCCTTAGGCAGTATAGCCCATGGTCACAAATGCAAGGAGTCATAGCCCAGCAACATCTGGGAGGATGTTCACCTCTGGACTGCAGTGTCTCTTGCACTTCATCTGGTGTGGCCATTGACTAGCCCAAAGTGATGGAAATTGGGAGTTGAATATATCTGGGCACTATGGTTTCGCTTTTAACAGATAAAGCCCTCAATGATTTTGGTCCAAGGTATCTCAAGGACCATGTCTCCCTTTATGAGACTGTCCATGTATTAAGATCATCAGGGGAGGCCTTTCTCTCTGTCCCACCATCATCACAGGGGTTCTTGGTGGGAACACAGAAGAGGGCCTTCTCTCTGGCTGCTCCCAGACTTTGGAACTCCCTCCCACAGGAGGCCTGGCTGGCCCCCTCTTGGCTGCCCTTCCTCAAGCAAATGAAGACCTTTCTCTTCAGGCAGGCTTTCCCTGAGGGGCTGGCTGCCTGAGGAGGGGAGGTGTTAAGTGAATTGTTGTGCCTTGTTGCTTTTCATGTGTTTTTCGGAGTTCATTTTGTTCACTGTTAGTGTGGGATTTGTTTGATTCTTTTGTAATATTTGTATACTTACTGCTTTTAACTTTTTAAACCTTGTCTACTACTGATGTAAGTTGCCTTTGGCTATATACATGGCGGGGAAGGGCTGCTGTCGAGAACATTCCGGTGGATGGATCCACTGTCTCCGTTGCTGTACGGCCGATTCCCCCATTGCTTGGTCCAGCTTAATCTGGAAATTTAGCCTGGTTCCTAAGACGGCCATAAACATCTATCAGAAGCTGCTTTCTTCAATATGATGCATGTGGTGTTGTTGCCCAAACTAGACCTTTCTTGCTTTTCTTTTATGTTTAAATTTTCACCAGTGCCTCACCGATAAGGGCTCCGAACTCACAAGAATCTCTGTGGTGGATTCCAGTGGTCAGTGCATTATGGATGAGTTAGTCAAGCCTAAATTGCCAATACGGAATTACCTCACTAGGTACCTCGTATATACATTTATTCATGGGGGCTGGGAATTAGACATGGTTGGGAATCTTGAAGGATTTCAAACTTAAGAACTCCTTCCTACAGTTGTCTTATACCAAAGTGGCATGCTTCTTAAGGCTGAATGACATTGCTGTGAAGGAGATAGAGGAATGGGCCTCAGATTGCTTTAAATGACTTCTGAAAGCAAATCAGGGAACTGTGGTGGAGGTGGTGTCAAAGTGTTGAACTTTGGAGGTCTAGATTCTGAACTCCACTGAGCCATTAAACTTATTGGGTGAGTTTGGGTCAGTCACCCCTCAGTCTGACCCATATCTCAAGGCCATTTCCAGCATAAACTGGGGAAGAAGAAGAAGTAGAGGAAAGCCACCGCAGGGAGAACTGGTCTGATCACAGCTATCACATGCTATTTTCCTGGAGATGAGATAATTTTTTTTTCCTGGAAAAGCTGCGTTTTGGTCAAGAAGACCTGAACTTTTGATGACATCTTGAAATAGTTTAAGAAACTCCGGAGCCTGTTCCACAGACTTCTGCTACAGCATAAATCATGGTCTGAAAATGCGAGATTCTTTCAATGCCCCAGATAATCCTCTCAATTGTGTTTTGAAGTTATTCCGGCATCACCGAGAAGTTGCTCCTTCCAGTGACAATCACCCTCGCTGACATCCAGGCCCGATTAAGAGACCTGCTCCCTGCTGATGCGGTTTTAGTGGGTCACTCTTTGAATTTTGACCTTCGAGCTTTAGAAGTGAGTAGACCCGTATCGTTGTGTTTTCTTCTGAACTTCAGGACCGGCCCTACTATTAGGCAGAGTGAAGTGGTAGCCTCAGGTAGCAGATGTTGGTAGAGGGGATCACTGTATGACAGGCAGGCTGCTCTGGACCAAGACGTTTGCCGGCCTGAGGCAAGGACAAGATGGCACCAGGTTCACCATTCCATTCAGCTCCATTTTTCTTCAGGGTGGGGTCCTCCACCACACCTGAGACAGTAAGGCTCGATGGGAGGGGATGGAACAAGCTGGATGGTAGGCATGGCTCTGTCCTCCAGCAGAAGGGAATGGGCAGAGGAGCCATCCAGGGATGTTTCTGCTTTTCTCCCTATACAGTGGTGCCTCACTTAACGACGTTAATTCGTTCCAGTGAAATCGCTGTAGAGCGAAAACGTCGTCATACGAAATTAAAAAAACACATTGAAACGCATTGAAACCCGTTCAGTGCGTTCCAACGGGCTGAATACCTGCTCGTCCAGCGAAGATCCTCCATAGGGCGGCCATTTTCGGTGCCTGTAAAGCAAGGAATCTGTCCTAGAAAACAGCGGGGGGGGGCATTTTCTTCAGCCGACGGCCATTTTGAAACCCGATGATCAGCTGTTTGCTGATCATCGTAAAGCAAAAATCAGTTCCCGAAGCAGGGAACCGATCATCACACAACGAAAAAAACCCATTTAAAACATCGTTTTGCGATCACAAAAGCGATCGCAAAAATGACAACATAAAGCGGATATGTCATAGAGCGGGGTAATCGTCCAGCGGGGCACGACTGTATATGCCACCTGAAGGGGTTGCCTCACTCTGCCTAAGAGCAGGGCCAGTTGTGCTGAACGAAGGCTGGGTGATGGAATCACGTCCATGGGCTTCCTGTAAGATAAGATCAGCATATAGGGTAGACGTCTGGGCATCCACTTTCTGTCTGTGAAATCTCTGCTGTGTGTAATCGGGGAGCCTGGAAGATGTGTCTCTTCATCATGTCTGAAGTACCTCAGCCTTGCTAGCTCTGTTGAGGTCTCAAGGGATGACATGGTTAAAGTTTGGCTGCCAACCTTTGCCTTTAAGATTCATAGGCAGCGATTCATACCCTCAGAACTTGAAATGACGGCAAATTCCCAGTTATTGAATGTGTTGTTGTTTCTAATTTTCCTGCTGGAGATGAGATAAGGTGCTTGAGAGTGTTTTCTGCCTGCTGTGACAAAATAATTTGGCTAGCTTTGGCTTCTGAGCATCTTGAGGTGGGTGGATAGCCAATGCAATGGCATAACAAAATGAGCTGATATTCCATTTCAGGCAGCAAAATGTCTTGGGGGTTTTCTGCCATCTGTACCCACTGTACTTTAAAAACAAAGCAAGAGATTACATGGCACAGTTGCACTGCTGCATGTTCAGTTTTCAAAGAGGTGCCATGTTAGTCTGTTTCATCAGAGATAACAACAATGAAAAACAAAGTGCTGTGGCACCTTAAAGACAAACGAATTCATTCCAGAGTGAGTGTCTGTGGAGTACAGTCCACTTCTTCAGATGGGTGACATGTCTGAGGAAGTGGATTGTAATCCTTCAAAGCTCACACTGAAATAAATCTGTTTGTCTTTAAGGTATCACAGTACTGTAGTTTTTATTTTTGTTGTGCACACTGAACAGTCATAATCCACACTTCATGAAACAAGCCCACGTATGTTTACTCAGAAGTATGTTCATCCTTAGGTAGGGAACTTACTCTATGTTAAGTGTGAGCAAGATTGCATTGTCGTTCTGAGGATCCTTTTTGTCCTCTTCACCAGTTACAGCGACAACAATATCAAAAAAATCGCACAGATCCACTCTTGGAAAACCAGCCTTCAGGCTTTGAATGCAGCTTCAACATCACAGCGGCAGGTCGTTTTCTAACACCCTTTTTAAAAACTCTTCCAGATGGTGCATCCCCATGTTATAGACACGTCCCTTCTGTTTGCCAGGAAGGGTGGCAGAAGGTTCAAGCTGAAATTCTTGGCAGAAGCTGTTTTAGGGTAAGAGTCTTCCTGCTCAGCAGGCACTGGCACCCAAGCTTGTTTTCCCCCAAATCTTTTTTATTAAATAAAATTTGAAATCACTGCATGGAAAAAAGGAAATACTTCCAGATAATGGGGATTATTTAGATGGTTAAGGTGGCGATTTAGCTGCAGGGAAAACCCACTAAGCTTAAGCGTCTTCTGCTTAAGACACTTAAGTACTGAAGTCTGCTTGATGCCCATAAACCACATAGTGGTTGCTGACCAGCATTTCCTGGCTGCGTACCTTCCAGATTCACTGGAGTACAACCTACTTCAATCCCAGCCAGCACTCACTTTGTGATCAATATGACAAATTATAGGTAGCCAGAACTGAAAACCTCTGAACTGCTGCAGTTCCTTTCTTGATCATACATCCCATTAAACTATGGTTTAGTATCGAGGTGGGCAACATGCACCTTTTTGGATGTCGTTAGATAATAAGTCCTGTAAACCTTCTTTATTATGGCTTTGTTTTCCAGAGCCAAGAGAATTTCAAGCCCATCCGGTTGCCCCACTGTTGGTTTAATGTGCTGTCCAAACACAGCCTCTCTTTTTCTCGGACTAAGCTACCTCTTAGGCTTGTTGTGAAAATACGATCGGTGGTGGGAACTGTATACCAGATTCTGAGCTATCTGGGATAAATAAAGTGAAAGACAAGTTCTTACCGCTTGGTTTGTTATCTGGTCATTTGTGAAGGCTAAGATGGCACCTGGCAGTGCCAACTTCAGTTTGAGGCAGAAAAAGTTAAGATTGTTCAGCTCACTGATGTGGGGCAACTCATTTTAATAGTCTCATGACTAAAATAAACAAACTGTGATTATTTCCTGTTATTTACATATTTACTATGTAACCAATATAAATACTATGAAAGTAGGCACAATTGTATAGACTTTTCTTGTGCACAAAATTAGCTAGTTACAGTTCATTATTTCCCAAAGCAGAAAGTTATTGCTGGTTTTGTGTGATTCTGCTGAACCTCTGTGTATTCTGCTGTCCCGTCTCATAGGAAAGAAATTCAGCATGATGATGGAGCGGGTCACAATCCAACAGAAGATGCTAGGAGTGCTCTAGAACTGGCCCAGTATTTCATTGACAAGGGACCTAGGAAGGTATGTTAACTTTGCATCCTTTATGTGTGTGTTTTCAAAAAAGTGTGGGTTTTTTAAAAGATTTTTTTTCCAAAAGAATTCTACATGAGATACAATCAGAAGTAGGTAGTGCTGTCATGAAATGATAGTGGCGATGATGGTGATCTGAATATCAGGACCTTGCCAATCTATCTTACACTTTGGGGAAGTTTAGGTGATAGATGTTATACTGCTAACTATTTGGAGGAAGAATTTAATTATCCTGCTTTTCAAAGTACCTTTTGCAATAGTGGCCCTAAATAATCAAATACATTTCTTATTTATACAGGCAATATAAATCAAGGTATGTAAATACTGCTTTGCATAGTAGCCACAGTATGGTCTGGCCCTCCCCTGTAGTGCTTATACCCTAAAATCTAGCCTGGGGGAGAAAAGGAAAGCATCACGGGGAAAGATTTCAGAACAAATTAAAACAAAGTACTGTACCTCTTTGCGTAGCATACAATTAATCTGTAGAATATCTTGCCACCAGATTTAGTAATTGCTGCCAACTTGGACAGCTGTAAAGGGGAATTAGATAAATTCCCAGACGGTTAGGCCATCAATATAGCTGGTATAGTTCAGTAGGGTGGAGCACCTGCCTTTGGAGTCAGGGATAGGAGTTCGAATCTCTCCTGGGAGAGTGCCCCTCTTTGGTCACTGATGAACTTGGTAAATACTTGATTCATAACCTTGCATGCTGAAACTGAACCGTCCGTGGGGCTCACAAGAGAAGATGTCTTGATGGATTCAAAATGGTTTTTCAGCAAAATACCAAGGAGAAACATGTGCAACTAAGATCGAATGCCAGCCGTGGAGAGGAGAGTATTTTGGTAGCATCGCATTTCGCCTGGCAAAGTTTTAATTTCCCCAATAGGTTGCGGAGCTGAATCTGGAGACCCGGTTGGTAGGCCAAAGGCAGGCAGGAAAGGGGAAGAAGAACGGTGTCTTGCCGACGCAGAAGAACAGAGTCCGGAAACGGACAGGAGAACCCATCCAAAGGTAAACAGCTTTTACTGCCTTCTGGCGCTCATCAGCCCTGGCTGCACACCGTGCCCATCAGAAGTCTCCTGGAGGGCCTTTTTATGCCGCATGTTGTCCAAACTATGAAATGTACTGGCAGGGTCCATGGAAAGAACGAACACTCTGCAGAGAAGCCGTCCCGTATAAAAGCTGTACTGAAACTGCAGAACACATTTGCCTGCACAATCATCTGCTTGCACTTGCCTAACAGTCACGGTTGCCAGCTTTTCTCCTCTTCCTCCTCCCCTCCCCCCCCTCACTTCGCAGCCGTGGCAGTGCCGTACTGCTGCCAGGGCTCATAGAGTTGAAGAGATAGGATTTTCCTGATGAACAAGCACCATTATGTCATTCGCTTCCCCCCCCCTCCCATTCCATTTCTCTTGCCCCTCTGAGGTGGCAGCACTCACAGTAGTTGGGGCAGAGGAACTGGATTTTCTTACCAGCAATGTGATTATGAACTACTGCTGTTGCTCTGCGAAATATTTTGAGTTGGTTTGCATTTGGATGAATAATTAAGGCCCATTAGCTTTATAAAAGACCCGTTCCTGGTTGTGATGACAAGTGCGAGAATTGGTTTGTCACTATGAGTCAACACAGCTGCCTGCATGTCTGAGGAAGGAGAGGCTGCATTTCAGTTTGATCTATGTTACCCTTCCATCTGTCGTTCCCCCCGCCCCCAGACTTGATTGCTACTAATTCTTTTACAATAAAATACTCTAGAGCATTTCTCCTCAGCAAAGCTACATCCTCCTGTCCTAAACCACTAGTTTGTCGTTGATCCCTATTGGTGGTCTAGCAAAAAGCAAAGTACTGTACATTCTTCAACCCTGAAGTTTGCCCCCTCTCTCTTCTACATCAGTATAATAAACATGAAGCATGATGATGTCAGTTAAGGAAGTCTGAAACATAGCCCTGGGTTGGTTGTTTTGATCCATTCTGCTTTCCTTTTCTTCTTGTTTCCTAGCCTGTTGGACATCTTGCGCTCGATGGATCAAAAAACTTTGCTTTTGGGAGAAGAGTCTGAAACGGCTTCCTACGACAGCCAGCACCAGGTAGGCTCTCTGAATAAGCGAGTGAGTTGTGGTGAATATGTCTTCAGGGCTTCATGCTTTCCCTGTCACACTTCTCATTCCGAGAGAAGCTAATTATTGTACTGATAACTTTTGCTGAATTAAAATCATAAATTAATCAGTCAGTTTTAAGTACGAAGCAACCATGCAATGCGCACCCTACAAGGTCCTTGGAAGTATCCAGGCCAGGTTTCAGATGTCTCGGTTCCACAGTTTTGGAGCTATGAGGAAACACACACAGCTCCTGTTCCTCACAGTGTCATAGATACCCGATAGACACCAAAGAGGAAAATAATTTGCTTTGGCGCGTGTGTTGTCCTACAGCAGAAATAGACAACCTGGGGCCTTCGAGATGAGGGTGGACTGCCCCTCTCATTATAGGTGACCACCACTCATGTTGGGAATAGCTCGGTGTATCTACAATACTTCTAGTAAGAAGATATTTTCCAAATCACTAATGCCAACCATCAAGACCTTTAGGTCTGCCTGAAGCTGTGTGTCAGGATCTGCTGAGGCCCGAACCTGAAATGCAGAACTGGTTATGCTTGTAAGAAAATTCTGGAAACTGCAGTGCAAGGAAGTAACTTCTCCAAGCTTCTGTGCTGCAGTCAAATCTTCCTTTGCCCTAGAATGACTCCCCCCTAGGTTGGTTGCCCATCAGAGCTGCTGGATCAGGAAGGACAATAAAGACTTCTAGAAGTCCAGGCCCTGAATGAGCATCTGCGGCAGGGGCTCCTTCCCAACATTGGGTCACCCAGGTGTTCTTGGACTGCACTTCCCAGAAGCCTTCACCACCAGCGGTGCTGGCCGGGGTTCCTGGGATTTGCAGTCCAAGACCACCTGAGATAGCCAAGGCTGGGAATCACAGATCTATGCTACCCCTTTGTCCAACCCTCTCCCCACCCACCGTTTTCAGTTCAAGGGACCAACCCGTCTCCCCCACCCTTGACATCTCTTCTTTTTCTCCCTCTTTAGGTTCTCCAGAGAGCCTTGGAAGAGGTTCCTAGATCCTCCTTCAGTGTAGTCCAGTTTGCTTTGGATTCAAGGCATGTGACATCCACTCTCACGGCAGCAGGAGGTTCAAAGGTAAATACGGCTTCCTGATTTTCTACAGCAGGCTGGGAATGATAAAAATAGGGTCCGCAGGTAGGTCTCTGTGAGATTGCAGGTACTGTCACTTATTCAGGAATGTGGCATCTGAACTGATGGTTACTGTTTATCTCCTTCTATTAATTGTTACTTATTTGGGTAGATTATATACCTGATTTTTAGTTCTAGTTGTTACTGACAGGGGTCAGCTATGGGCTGCCGTTTTTATTTTTGTCTCTGTTAATAGCATTTGATTAGGTTAGATAGGGTGTTTTCTTTGATTATTCCAAGATGTGGTTGTATGGTTTGCTTTAGGATATGTAAACCATCCGAAGTAGTGATTTTACTAAATTAGGCAGTTTTTAAGCCTTATAAACAAACAAACACCCCCTCATAACTTCCCTCTTCATAGCATCCGCACCTCTTTTCTCAGATGAGGCGCAAGCTGGACAGCATGTTGACAGTCTACGCAGGCCCATTTGGCAAAGACGTCTGCCTAAAGTCCGTGAAGAGAGCCTTCAAGAGGTACGGCCACATTCGGTCAATAAGGATCATTCCAGAAACCTTCAAGGTAAGTCACAGAATGAGCCTGTGGTGCCTGAGTGGCCAGAATCCTATTGGTACCTTAGGCCTGCGTAAGAGAAATTACATAAATCTCAACAGGCAACTGCCACTGATTAACAAAGTGTCAGTGGGGTTCTTGGGCACACAACCTATTGTGAGATCAGCCACACGTTCAGAAGCAGGGCCAGTACCTTGTTAGTAATTTAACATTTTGCCACCAAAACTTAACACCGTTTTGCCTTACATAAGCCTAGAACATCGATAGGATTCTGGCCAGTACCTGCAAGATGAGAAGGCAGTGTGCCCTTCCATGCCCATTCCTAGGGGGTTAGGATCTGCAGGAGGCTGTTACTGTGCTCATTTCACATTGAGGACACTGCAGGAAATCTTTGTTAGCTGTAGCACGTAAACATAAAAGCGGAGCCCACAAAGAAGTGGCATGCTAGTCGCTGGCAAGCATTTGTCTTTTTCTCAGGATTTTGGCCTGAGATCCTGATGTCTGAACGAAGATGACCTGTAGTAACCTTCTCTTTTTTTCAAAAGCCACATATCTGCGTCCAGTATGAAGTGCTTGAGGCCGCCCAGCTTGCTGTGGATCGTCTGAATGGAGCAAAAATTGGAGGATCTCGAATCAAAGTAAGCTTTTGGGTGACTTTTGGAAGCAGAACCATGGCAGCACAGCAAAAATGTCTCTCCTGCACTTCAGTTCTGGTGTAATTGGATCCTGCTGTACTTACAGTTGCTTCTTTCCAGATCTGTATGTAGCAAATCACCTAGGGTGCATATAGATCACCTCCAGGTGATTAGCTTGGAAAGGGAGAGCAAAGTTTCTGTCCAGAGAAGAAAATGATATAAGTCTGATATTGGGGGAAAACAATAAGAGTGGGTAGCTTTCGCAGATATTATCAGGCTGCTATTTCCTTTTCTGTGTAGCTCAGACTTGTGTTCTAGCAGGCTACCTAAATTGCAACATTCTTCTTACACCTGCATGCCCAAAATCTTGCAACATTTCATGCTCTGGAGAGAAACCGCACACCTTATGATTCTCCTGCCCCTTTCTTAAGGTGGCTCAGTAATGAGTGCATCCCATGGACGCAAAATCTAGACACAAGAAGCTACTGTGCAGAGCTCCTAGCCATTGAGGCTGTTTTAAATCATGTGGTCCTGCTGGTGGCTTCTCTAACTGGCCTAGATTTGTAAGCCAACATCAAACCCAGGTTTCAAATGGTGGCTTGTTAGAGGAGAAACAAGTCAAGAGTCTGGGCTTGGCCATAACGTAACACTAGGTTTTTTCTGAAAGGTCTCAGACTGTGGTTCTCTACAACACTGGGACCAGTTGATGGGAATCTAAAA